TACAAATGCAATAAAAATATTGGTATCGGTACTCTGTATCGGCAAGTACCAAAAATAAAAGTATCGGTATCGGGCGAGTACTGGAAAAAGTGGTATCGGTGCATCCCTAATTTCCAGCAACAACAACTGAGAGAGCCATGTTAAATAACTATAATTAATATAAGTGCAAACTAGCAAAAATAGGTAGTAAGGAGTGATTTGATTCTCTCGATGAAAGAAGTTTCTGAATCAGATGGGGCCACTTTAGAGAACCACTTTAGAGAACCACTTGCCAGAGATACTTATGTTCACCAATTTCTCTCATTCTCAAGGAATGGGGCTTTTCTTGGACTTCGGAAAGGAACCTGACCTTTCCACTTTGGTAAAGCTAGGGTTGCTAATTCAGTCAGTAATAAAAGGTTTCACAGTCAAGGGTTTATTGATGGAGTTGCTTTACTTGGGGACCACCAATATGCACACTCACTGATTTGTGAGTCATTGACAATATAAACACATACTTGCGCTAATCTAAACCTGAAACATGCTAACATACATACACACATACTCACACAGTGATCGTTTGGACTAAAAGATCAATGCGGATGCTCTCTGGGAACAGAGTTAATTAGATTACAGGAATGTTTTCCTAAATCAATTTATTTTACAGTTCAGCTAAACAGTATGGGAAGTGTAATGCACTTCAAATGATGATAGAGTGGATGTGGCCTCTGTTAGAGCTAACAGGGGTACAATGGATCTTCCACACAGATTTAGATAACCACACTTTCATTTTTGTCAATGTAGGGAGGGATCAAATGCTTACTATAGGAAGTTAAGCCTAATGTGCTTTCCAAAGGGAACTACGAGAGGAAGAGTAGAGCTCGTGCCATAAAACCGCTCAAAGAAAATCAACCAAATGTGATCTTCAAGAGTTTGTAAGATAAGAATGAAGTCTACACGAGTCTGAAAGTTGTCTTCCTTTGTTTTCCTCAAATATGTTTCTTACCATATCTGAAACGGAGCATCGTGTGGCATTTAGAGGGAAATCGGTCTCTCTCGCTCGCTCCGCATCAGCCCCCTCCTCTTCCCTCTCTTGAAAGCTTTGTGATGTCGCAGGTAATAGGGAGTCTGTTGGATCGCTCCCCTCGTCAAGTGACACGCAGTAAATTACACAAGCTTCAAGCAGCTCGCTGAATTATAGTTCATCACTTGGAAAGACTTCCCACCACCGGGCTACACGTATCAGATCTGCCAGTTAGGATCCAATTAACACCCTGGCCAGAGTAATCAGACTGCATGTGTAAGGGCTGCTGGAACTGGTTTATTACTCCCATGCATCTTCTGTCAGAAGGTACAGTTGTTGCTTCTACATCAAAGCGGTGCTATGCCACTATTTTTTTCCCCACTCCCACCGTTCCACTGGTTCTTGCCTAAGGGTTGTGCTTCAGCTTCCTTTGCATTGCAATGTGAGCCCCTGCAACTGTAATTTACAGACGCTGCCCACTAGTTCAGGTATCCGGGGTAAAGAAGGATGCTTTCCTGGTTACTAAAGATCACAAATCTGAAAATACAGTTTTTCCCCTCCTCCTTCGTTTTGGAGTGGCTGAACTTTGAAGAACTTGTTGGAATTTGAACTGAATTGGTCATACCTCACAGAAAGCTCAAATGGAATTTTAACTGGAATGCTCAGAAAGTGCATTCTAGGCAATCTAAACACAAACCTCTACCAATGAGGCCTATAAACTTTCAAACTGCAATGCTTTTTCAACTTTTATCAAAACTTTCCATCACTTTTAAGTTGTAATTCTGTTCTGTTTCCTGTGCCAGTTTTGTAGTTCCTTTGATCATTGGTTCCCCTTGATTGTCTCCCCAGTTATGTCTTGTCTTCTTGTTACCCTCATTAACCCAGCCTGTATAAATATCCCTTGTGTTTCCGATGTTTCTTGGTTAGTTGCTGGATGTACATATTGTGGTTCCCTCCTTTCCTTCCTTCTTTTTATTTAAAGTCTTGAATTTAGATCCACATCTTACCTGCCATCCATTGCTTGCCACGTTACACTAGTTAAGTTACAGTGTTATTGACTTCTTTGAATGTCATTTTTTAAAATTCATTCTTACATTCAAATTCCAATTGCAATTCTGCACTCTGTTTTTTGACCTCAATTCAAATTCACTTCCAATCAACTGAATTTAAAAGGCCTTCCAAATTCTCGTCTGAATGGCGCACAACCCTACTGTTGGGTGAATGCTGTTAATAATCAATGTTAATATGAGGGCACGAGTTTCCTTTTATAAATTCCGCCGGCTTTGTGCACGGTTCCAGTTGGCGGTCTGAGTAGATGAATTTTAAGGAACATGGCGCAGGAGTCTGACGCTCAGATGAGCTGTGCGTTGCTGACCTTTAAATCGGCGACACTCGGAGGATGGCTCACTGCTCAGGAAGTGATTGGGTTGAGCTATCTGCTACTTCTTTCTCGTCTTGGAATACACGCGAGCAACGAGCCGCTCAGCCATCCTTCCCAAACGCAGGAATGAGGAAGCCTCCAAAAGGATGTTTGGTTGTGAAAAAGGTACATTAGCAAAGCCGGTTGGGTTTAAAATGAACAAAAAAAGGTCAAAGTATTGGCCGTATGTTTCTGTCGTGGACGCAAACGCTGTAGAGTGTACCGTAGTTGCACGCTAGTGAGCTGAAATTGCTTTGTTTGGTTATTTGACCTTGTTAATGCCAAGATATTGCTCTCTGAGCCCACACCGCCAACAGGTCAAAGGTCAACTCTACCTCTTTAAACACTTTCCTGACACCTAGACAGCTGTATTATATCACCACAACAGCCCGTTTTGTAACACCCATATGCCTCTGTTTGTTCAGCATCCTCCTGTTAGCTTCTAACCGCTGTTTCGTCAGTATTCAGTATCGCTAACATGTGTTTTCACACAGTTAAATGCCCATCCTGCCATCAGGACGAGACGCCTGGGCGGCACACAGAGCCAAACAAACAAACCGGCATGTAGCTTATAGTTGGAGAATGGCAGCTGGGCTGATTGGGAGGGCAGGAGACACAATTGCCAGTCGTGCAAGCTTTCTGTAATCCCCCTTCCCTATCGTCCTCTCGCTTTTTATTTGTGTTTTAAATGTCAGTGTATAAAACGCGCACGAGATATTGCCACTCGGAGGGAGAGGCGGTACGACGCGAGAGGACTGTTGTGTGCCTTGGGAAATCCTTGTAAGCAGCATGAAGAAGCCACAAGGATTTACGTGGAAGAAATAGGTGTTTATTGACTTCTCCTCTGGGCTTACGGGGTAATAATAGACCTGTCACATTACGCAAATGTGGAAAAGCGGCTTCTGAACGCGTCAAAAGCGCGAGATGAAGCGCTGGATAGAATTAGTCAGCCGACAGGCTTTAGACACTAATACAAGTAATTAAAACCGTGAGCTGCAGCACTTAGATGCTCGTGCAGTAAATAATTTATATGCCATGATCTATGGATCACTTTCCCTGCCTTTCCTGGACAGGAAAAGGGGCGGATTCATCAGTGTCAGGGAACGAGCAGGCGTTTACTTTTTTATGTAAATAAGTCATTTTTCAAAAAGCTCGTTACTTGACATGTCTAAGTACACGCACATGGTCTGAATTGAGTTTTTGTAAGCATTTAAAAGCATAGCTATCAAAGAGATATAAAGGAATATTCCATTGGAGGTGAATGGAACCAAGGTGAATGGTTTCAATATTACAGCCACAAGATGAGAACAAGATGTGTGTTAACATGCTTTTAGTGTGAAAAATGGCTTTCTAACTTGTGTAAAGTAATATCCAATTTTACAACTGTTGCTGTCAATGTACCTCCATAAACCTTAAAACAACTGTAAAAATGAAGATTTAAACAACTTTAGAGCTCAAATAATACACAAGTTTTAACAGAAGAATTGCTTTTATAAAATGATAAGCTTCACATTTCTGCTTCAGAAATTGGCCCCATTCACTTCCATTGTACGTACCTCACCGTAATCATGATTTTTGAACCTTCTATTATAAGAAAAGTAGGGATGGTCAACAAACTATTGATTGAGCTTAATTGGGCAAATGAACATGGAATATTCCTTTAAGCATAGTTTTTGGGAAATAAAGGTTAACTAGATATTTAGACATTTAAAAGAGCACTGAATAAGTTAGTAAAGAAAAGGATCGACAGCATTGATTAACTACAGCCTGAAGACAGCACTCAACAAGCACTGATTCATATTGATTCATATGGCTAACATGAGGCAAGGATGGCATAAGCAAATGTAAATATTCAATATTTACCATCCTCTGGTGTTATTAGAGTCAGGGGCTCGGTCATGGGCCACCAGTTATCACAGACCTTCCTCATTCAATATCACTCGGCTTCCTCAGGAAGTATCGCACGGCAATTTGCAGTCACGCTGTGTGCCGGGAATCCATTCTCTGAGTATACAGACGACTGCGAAACTACAATAGATACACGAAAGCGCATCCACCTAGGCTTTGCTTTACAACTAATATCTTTGCACAGAAGGCAAAAAATAATAAAACAAAAGGAAAAACTTTCCCAAATACAAAAGCCATATTTGCCCAAACCGGCCTGAATATATTAAAAGTGAAAGGCACCGAATCTTTAACTTCCGCATAATTAGATACACAAGGGTGTGACTCTTGGAGAAGGTGTTGCCATTGTTATACTCTGTGAAAATATTAACGATGAGGGTTAGCGCTAATTTTCCCTTCCTTTAATTAAATGCACGGGGTACTAATGAGGTAAACCACTAGCTGATAGCACTTATTAGCAGGGAGGAGGGCACGCTCTCTCTCGTACTTAATTTAAACCTAAGAATACGGAGCCTGGCAGATGTCAAGCGCTTACATAATTTGAGGTGGCGCGTTTGTATTGTGGGGATGTGAGAGAAAAACACATCGGCACTCAGTGGGTAAGTAAACAGGCCTGGTAGTAGGGGATGCGACGTGCACGATGCCGCTGTGACCTTTACCAAATCACCGACAATAGCGATGCGGCGCAGCTGGAATCAATAATGGCAAATTATCTTGGAGGGGTACAAATGACAGCTAGTTAGGATACGCGATGCTACAGGAAGAGTTGCTATTTGGTTTCTGCGGAATTGTATTGTAAATAATCCAATAGAAAGTTTCCAAAAGCTTTTTATTCTTCATTTACCATGTTTAATTTTGACTTTGTAAAATCTACAGTGAGGCTCTTACAACTGAAGTGAATGGGGCAAAATCTATAAATGTTAAAACTCACTTTTTCACCACAAAACATTAACAATGTGAGTTATCATGATTTTAGAGTGAGAAACGGATTACTAACAGCTTGTGTAAAGTTACATCTAATTTTTCTTTGTTGCCATGATAACGTAACTCATAAATCCCTAAAACGACTTAAAAAAATTATGATTTAAACAGCTTTATAGCACAAATAATACACTTTAACAGAACAATTATAAGCTACACATCAAAAAATGGCCTCATTCACTTCCATAGTAAATGCCTCACTGCAACCTTGATTTTTGCCTTTTTAAAGACAAGGAACAAGTCAATATTAATTTTTGTGTTCAAGAATATGAAACAAATCCTATCAGTTGAGCACGGAATATTCCTTTAATATGTCAATATCTTTTGACAGCAGAGATTTCAAGGTTGCCCGACAGAGGAGCTGAGGTAATGTAGCTTTAGACAACAGAATGGTTTCAGGTGTGAGGTATTTTGTTTGGTTTCTTTTGGAGAAGGGCAGGCCTGACAGGTTGAAATTTTACTGACAGCTCCAGAATTACATTGCCAAATCAAACAGAGTAGCTGGAACAGAGGAAATCTTTTCCAGAGCACCATGTATTATGGATGGACTTAAGAGATTAGCGAGGAACTGCTCACCTGCAACAGACGCTGTTTGTCGTTGTTCTTTGGAGATTTCAGGCCACTGCCTGGTTGCTGTAGGAGTAATTGCCTTGCTGCTTGTAGGGCCTGCAAAGAAAGAGAAAAAGAGAAACAAAATTAGTTTTTTTCCCCATCCTTCTCCCTCCCCGGCACACTCAAATATCAAACACTGTGAAAGGTGACATCAACCCGGCGCATTCCATCCACTACACTATTCATTGTTGTTGATGAGCCATGAAGCGTCTCTCAAGATATACATTTTTCATGATAATCCACAAAGCCGTGATGAAAGATAAATACAGTTTGTCTAGCACCTCTGAAGAGCACGAGGGGAAAAAAACACACAGAGAGTGTCAGTGGTATTGACCCGTCTAGTGTGTGCTCAGCTGAAATACCCACTTCTCTGCAAATTACCGGCCCATTTGCATATTCATAATATCAATTTGAAGTAGAGGCAGACGATGTGAAGTGTTCCTAGAAGCTGTAATTAAAGTTGACAAAATCAACATCAGATTACCTCAGGAGTGAATTAACAAGGAGCTGAGCATTAGCCGGGCCCCTGAGCACAGGGGTGACGCTGGCCCTTCTCTGCCAAATCACTCCAGATACCTACTTATCCAATGTCATACAACAATACAAGAATATTTGGTTGCTAAGGTAAGCGTCCCTATAGCTCATACTTAATGTTAGGGGTTTGTTCAAATCTTTAACCCTAATTATTAAACTTTAGAATGTAACTCATCCTGTTTGTGCTGGGGTCGACCGATATGTGCTTTTCAGGGCTAATGCTGATGCGATTATTACAGATCAAGTAGACCGATAACCGATATTTCGAACCGATATATATGTCTGGTGTAAAAATGAAAATTAATATCAAAATTAAGAATAACAAGGGCTGTGACAAAAACTTTAAATGCTTTTAAGTTATTTTATCGGAAAATCGGTTTCGAAAGTAACCGATACGATATCCATAAAATGCTTAATATCGGTGCCAATAATCGGCTGATCCCAAGTTTGTACTACTGACATGATTGATACCTATTACTTTTTTGTTTATAGGGGATCAAACTAATGATTTATAGCATGTTGGTGAAAAAATGGGTGAAAAAACAGATTTACATTGTATGAGTGAATCCTCTGGGCTCTTTTAAATTTGACCAATAAGCAACCACATAGCAACCACCCAGATACATGTCCTAGCCAGCCACATGACCACATCAATGCTCAGACAACACCTCAGAACACCTTAGTAACCACTCCCACACTCCCAAAGCAATAGCAATAGCACTAACAATCACCCTCAAAATCCTACCAACTTTTGCATAAGCAAACATCCACTCCTTTTTCTTCAGAAAATGTAAAAATGTTTTTTTTTTTATTATCTTTTTTCTTAAAAAAAAAAACATGTTACAGTATATGTGTGTAAGCCTGACGGCAGGTAGGTTGAAATGATGTACCTTACAGTGTTCCTCATGTATCTACAGGAATACTGATACACGCCTTCAAAGGAAAGCAACTCTTTCCAGACTTCCTGGAGTTGTATGTCGATCGTAGACAGAAGTGAACAACGACTCTGTGAACACAGCCACAGACGGCCTCAGCGCCCCGACACAAGGAGAAAGCAACAAAATAAATAAAGCAATATAAACAACAAAATAACTTCACAGGTGTTTCATCCGTCGGGGAAGAGGAGAGTGAAGGTCGAGGGGTGCGAAGAAGAAAAAAAACCCTCCTTCAGATAAAGAGTGACACTTCTTCCAGCAGAATAAAGGGCTTGTTATATTTCCTGGTGCTTGCCAGTATCCATGACAACAGCTGCCTTGACAGGATGTGCATATGGCACTGCTCTGCCAGCTGGTGAGAACAATGTTTGAACTAGTACATTGAGATGCTGAGCAAACAGGGGGAGAAAAGGAGAGAGAGAAAGAGAGAGATAGGGGGAAAAGTTGCCACGTCTTAACCCGCTGGGAAGGCAGCCATCCCCCTGATCAATTATGAAGAGACAGGGTGAGGAGCTGCCACTGTCTGTCTGGCTGTGTGGTGAGGAGCCAGGCTCTCCGAGCTCCTGGTAAACAAACACAACACAGTGGCGCTGGGTCCTAACAGCATCGATCTGTCTCCTCTGATGCACACACACATACAGAGCCGTTGTCTGATACTTCAGGGGACACCAGGATGTGGAGGAGAGCTGGACTACTTCAAATCAGTTCCCTGTCCTGTCCTGTCTTTGAATGAACCAAACAGACAACAACCGGAGTCTTGTGCTTTGAATGTGGCATACTTGTCTAACCGGATAAGTTTTCGGGAAAAAACAAGATTTCACATTTTGCAAACTAATAATTGTAGTCAATTTTAATCAAATTTTATTGTCACTTATTGCTGCAAAGTGACAATAAATGTTCCAGAATCAGATAAGTCTGATTTGAATGAATCATTTACACTAGTTTTGTGAACATATTTAATGAATCTGATTAATTTGTTCATGAATTGGCTGTCTGTTCAGTCTATTCTGTATAGAACAATATAGAGTCGTTTAAACTACTTTTATGTATTTATGGTGCTTTTGGTCTTCTGAACCCAGTTTTATGTAAAGAACGGACTGAAACATAAAATTATGAAGAATATTCTTCTGGGTCACTTTTTCAATATAACAAAGGTGAATGGGAACTGGCAAGCTGCAAAGTGACAAAAGTTACAGAACCAGATAAGTCTGATTTGAATTAATCATTTAGACTAATTTTGTGAACAGGTTCATAAACCTACTTAAAAATCAGCCTGTTCTTTACATAAAATTTGATCCAGTTTTTGAATTTAATGATTCAAACACAATGGTAAACAGTCACCCGGATGTGGAGGAGAGCTGGACTACTTCAAATCCGTTCCCTGTCCTGTCCTGTCTTTGAACGAGCCAAACAGACAACAACCGGAGTCTTGCAGTTTGAATGGGGCATACTTGTAAGTTTTGGGAAAAAAAACAAGTGTTTATGTTCTGCAAACTAATCAAGTAGTATACTAAAAAGTTTCTGCAAATCACCCTGCCTTATTTTTCCGTTCTAAACGACGCATTTATCGATTAGTGATGGTCCTCGTGGTACTTTCGGATGCATGAGTGAGTTATAAGTACCCTCGCAAAGTCATTATCGGCAGGACCGCGTGGATGAGATTGTAAATTGCAGGAGATTTCACGCCCATCCAAGCGGTGATTGTGAGGCTTTAGTGGTCGGCTAATGGCTTTAGCACAACAATTAACAGGAGGAAATGTTTATCCGCGCCCCGATCGATACAGACTCACTGTCCTCTGATGAATAAAAGGACAAAGTCAAAGAAGTCATTCAATACACGGTAGAGGTCAGGAGAGTGGCGCTTCCCACAGCACACGGACGGAGACGTTTAATGGCTTTTCCATTACGAACGTGAACACTGGGAAGGGGTGGAATGTAATCAACTCCACTTTGCATATTAGAAGAACATTTGTTTAGATCAGTTAAAGGGTTAGTTCTCCCAAAATCACGGGATTATTTACTTCCTCATCCTCATTCACAACTCATTCTGTTTTCAGTTAAACACAAATTTTATTCTGGAAGAGTATTCTGGGCCACTTTTTCAATATAACAAAGGTAAATGGAAACTGGCAAGTTGCAAAATGACAATAAAAGTTCCAGAATCAGATAAGTCTGATTTGAATGAATCATTCAGACTAGCTTTGTGAACAGGTTCAATGAATCTAAACAGTTCGTTAATGAATCTGCTTAAGTTTCAGTCTGTTCATTACATAAAACTGGCCTAAGAAGACCAAAAAGCACCATAAATGCATAAATGTAGTCCAAACGACTCTATATTCTTGTGTAAAGAACAGACTAAACAGACAGCCAATTCATAAACAAATGAATCAGATTCACTGAATCTGTTCACAAACCAGTCTATAAAATTAATTTGAATTGGACTGATCTGGTTCTTGAATTCAATGATCTGAACACTATGGTAAACAGTCCATAAGCCTGCATAATTTTGCAACTGACTGATTAAAGAACAATAAGCCACACAAGCCGTATGGGCTACTATAATGATACTTTTTTGCCATTCTGGAGTCTCAGTCCTCATTCATGTTCATTATATGGAAGAGTGACCAGAAAAAAAATTCTTCTTTTTGTGTTCTACGAATGAAAAAGTCATAAAGGATTGGAATAATGGGCTGAGGGTGAGTAAATGATGACAGAACTTTCACTTTTTGGCTGAACTATTCCTTTAATGTTTCCGTCAGAACTGTTAATCTGTCCTTGTCCTGTAATGCTGCAAAAACATTCCTTATTAGTGACAACACCGCATTATACAGCTGATATTCGCCCTTGTGCGAAAATACCCAGAATGCAACACAAAGGCATATTAGGTGTTTCCAGATTCAACAAAAGCAAAGCAACCACTGAAGTTTTGCTGGACAGCTGAAAGCTGCTTGCTTTGCTTTGCTTTTCTTCGTCCTATAAGTTTTGTTGCTGTGCAGAAGAAATGCGGGCTGCCATCCATTAATGCACACATTGTATAAACAGCACAATGCATCACATTCCTCAGAGCTAGGAGCTTAAGGAGAACCCGGGCTGGAGCGTAAATAACAAGGCACTCAGGAACATATTTGATGTTGATATCTATCTCTAAGGACTGGGAGGGGGAAGAAAAAAAAAGGACAGAAAGAAACAAACTTGCACGTTCAGTACAATGAAGCGCACACTGAAGACACACGCACAAACACATGATTGCAAGAGCTTCGCAATTTTTATGAAAATACGATTCTGTCCAAATGGATCAGCTGTAATTGGTTTCAGATAGCGAGGTCGAGGGAGAAAGGCGATACCGGTCACTATTATTCAAAACGGGGGGAAGAAACACGAATGTTTACACAGGCGTTCCTCAGCTACGTTAATAGCCGAGCGAAGCTCACCGGAGAGAAAAAGAGACAGGCGAAAGAAACATATGTCAACTCTCTCACCCCTTTCACCAGGCAGTCTGTGTTTAGACTTAACACAGGGGTAATGAGGAATACATCGCAACGTTCCCAGCTCTAAAACAAGCATGAAAAGCATTAGCAGCCAGTC